TATGTTTCCTGTCTCTCGGTTGGAACAACTCCTGGATATACCATGAGGCAATTCCTGATAATTTTGCTTTGTACATCATTTGAATAGAATCTTGAAATGTTAGTGTTCTTAGTTTAATGAATAATGGATTTGTTGGTTCTCAGTAAGTAGTTTTATTTATAATTACCTCCACACAGTAGGTCATGTAAGGAAGTATGAAGGAGCAGTACAACGTGTACAGGGAGGTTTGATTCAGTATTGATTTGGATATTTCGGCAGTGTTAAAACACTAAGACAAGAAGATTGAACAACAAAGGGCCTTTGACCTGCGTGCTGTAAATCACTCTGGAATAAGAACAACCTTTTAGCAGTGTTGACGTTCTTTAAAAAATCTTTACAGGAAGAGTTCATCCTGTCGCTGATGGGTCTTCTCTGTTGCAGCTGAAATAGAGGCGTCAGTGTTAAAGAGTTTAATAACTCAAATGGCTCACTGAGTGTCCTGATTTTTCTGAATGCTGATGAAACTGAACGTGCAGATAAATTATCACCGTCTTTAGGAATGTGATTACCCGGTGAAGTAGGCCTGATCCTGCAGCAGGAGGCCGCAGCTCGCCTTTGTCCAGATAACACTTTTCTCTGAGCCAACGCTCCCCTCGGCCAGTAATCACTGCAGGCTTTGCTCCTCTGGGCTTTTGTGGAGGGGGGGGTTGCTGATTAGCGTTGTGGGAGACCTGAGCCGGTAATGAGACTGTCGAGTGGCTCCGCTGGACACAGTGGCCCCCTCTGATAAAAGCATGCAGGGGGGGAGAGGGGGGGTTTGATTGGGCTGTGTGATGCGCTCTGAAGAGGGTTGAAACCAAAGTTAACTTCCCCCTTTGACGACGCCGCTACCTCCTGCGGTGATGTGTCAACACGCTGCCTCTGAACCGCGTTGCGACTCTTTGTGCGCCGCAGCCGGGGCGCCGCTGGTGTTTAACAACCAGCCGGGGGAGTCTCTGCTGGTGGCCATTATTGTCTTGACACCACATTTTTAACAGGGCAGCAAAAGTAACAGATTCGTCCAGCAGCTTGATAAGCCTCCAAACTCCACGGCCACTCGAGGATAACAAAAGCTGCTGAAACCGACCGCAACTACGACCCACAGAGAGTCGCCAAACACACGTGGCCTTGGAGAGAATTTAGTTTTCTACTCTCTGTCTTCTTCTCAAACTTTTCTCTGATGTCAAAAAAAAGTCTTATGGAACATCCCATTTACCTCAGAGCTTCTTTAAACTTCTGAACAAAATGTGCGGTTGTCTTTTCTTCTTCCATGTCATCCATTCACTGAAGCCTCCGTGTGTTTTTATGCTTAATGATGACACTTTCAACCTCTACCGGAGCCGTGCAGCCTCACAGATCCAGCTCTGAAACGATGCATGAGACACTTAAACACAAGCCTTTAGTGTAGTAGGTCGGAAGGTATTTAGAGGGCTGAACAAATGCCTCCGTAGTCTTCATAATCGTCTTTGAGTGAACTCATAATCCTGTGTTTGATGCAGTTTAATATCTCTGTGAATTTCCTGTTCCCCGATTGAATGAGTCCAAGGACAGAGTAATTTGAAAGAAAGAGGCTCGAGGTTTGCAGCGTGAATAGCTGTGTTTGATATAAAGAGTTCGAGTGGAACATAGTTAAATGCATTGCACATTTCTTTGATTAATTGGGTTTTTTTTTTAAACTCGATCTGATTTCAAAAGACCCATATGAACGTATTCTTTGTTGTTTTTTTGGCAAATTCTTTAATTGGAGTTCTTAATTAATTGAATGTTGAGGATGTTTGAGACTCAATTCTTGCACAGCTGCAATGAAACCAAACACAGATGCATTGAAGAAGTTTCATTTTGCTTTTACTGGAATTAGGGGGTCAAACAAACGTCCAGATGATTCACAAAAATATTCTTCCCATCGATAATAAAGGTTCTCAAAATGTTCAGTACAGCAGCGGTCTCAATGAGTCAACCCTCAGGACCCAACTCCTCATGAGAAAAGCCGCCTGCTGGCATGGAGAGTTATTTCCTTTCATGTGCAGAACGTATGCGGTGGTTGGCCGTCTGCTGTAGTCTTTGTGGTGTGTTCAAGTGCAACTTCTTGGGCTAAGAGGTGAGGCAGCGCCACAGGCATCCTTGGTCACCACTAGTTCTTTGCCGTCTGCTTGGTGTGTCAGGAGATTTAAAAAAACATCTATTTCATAAAAAAGGTTGAATTGGAGAGCGATGCAGGCTCACTCCTGCCCAATGTTGGTTACGTTGGATTTCTATTTCTGTTGCCGTGGTGTCGAAACATGTTTGGATATCGTTTGATTTAAAAAAAAAATAATAAATAACATGTTTGGGCTTTTTTGTGCCTTTAATGGAGAGATAGGACAGTGGAGAGAGAGTGGGGCCACAGGCCGGATTCAAACCCAGGCCGCCTGCTTTGAGGACTACAGCCTCCATACATGGGGCGCACGCACTAACCACTGTGCCTCCAGTGCCCCATAGTT